CTGTGGACTATGAGGAAATCAACAGGGATGGGTTGACAGTTGTAAATATTATAGAAAATGAATTACCCGATCTCGGTTTTTCTGAGAGTAACGCAGACGACGAAGAAATATTAATGCAAGATGAAGCAGACGTTTTTCAGAGCAACGAATTGCATATAAAAACTGAAGAAACAAGAGGAGACGCTGGGGTGGGACCTCGCCCCTTGTCTTCCAGCAGCAGCAACAGCAGCGTGAGCTTTGAAGACAAATATTACAAGAAGGATGACTACGACTCTCCGGAGGGCGGCGCTGCTGATGACATGTCCGTTGACGCTGACCATTCCTTGGGATTTGGTTGTCCGTCTGATGACACTTCTAACAAGAAGACGGATGACGCAAACCCCACCGCAGACGAGGACGATTTTATAGAGATAGACTGTGACGTGCAGCCCATGGAGACGCTGAAGCGGCCACTGGTGTACGGCTACGGCAGCGGCCCCGTCAGGTCGCACCGCGGGTCCTTCCTCGAGAAGAGACTCTCACAAGCTTCAGATGTCTCAGATTACCTGGAGATGGACTTGCTCGAATCACTTCTGAAGAGAGGCGTCGGTGGTGATGACACCCACTCCAGCGAGGGCTGTCTGGACCTCCGGGAGACATACTGGGACCACTGGCAAGCGAAGCAAAATGCTATAGAAAACCAAATCAACAAAAGCAGGCAGATTGGAGATCCTGTAAACAATCGACATTCTAGCTTTCCCAACTGCCCATCTTCAAAATTTTGCTACGACCCAGAGGTGCTCTTGGCGCAGGTGAGATGTCCAAAGTCCCTCGAAGACGCAACATTTAAGCAATACTCTGCATACGTCAAGTCTCAAATATATGATCACATTGGGAACGTCCACGAGAGCTTAAAGGAATACGGATTATCTTATGGCAGACCAGACTGGACTTCCAGTCAACCTGAGCTTCCAGACTTGCCAAGAAACCGCCGTGATCATGGCAAGTTTCCCCTGGATTACTCGAGTGAACCCGAACTATCGAAAACCGGAGAGAAGCGCCAACCTCGGACAGCAACCGCTCAAAGTCTCCCTCAACACCCACCCGCAGCTCTTAACCGTAGAGACGCGTCGTTTGACTCCGGCACCTGGACCTACCTGCCAAGCTCTGAGGAGTCGACTGTGGCTCCTTCTCCCCTCACCTGCTACCCGGTGCCCCTGCCACGCTCCACCTCCTCCCTCAGCCACATTGGGCCGGGAGTGTTCAGCCCCTGGCACCACCTCCTGCCCGACGTCACCCCTCCCAGGACACCCAGACACAGTGAGTCCACGCACCACTCTCAACACTTCCTTTACCAAGTGTTTATATATATATATATATATATATATATATATATATATATATATATATATATATATATATATATATATATATATATATATATATATATATATATATTGCAAGCATACATCATGTTATACGAGGTCATATATAAAAGATTCACTAATAAATAATGTACATTTGAGAAACATTGTACAGTATATAATGTCATCGATTCTATATTATCATCAGTTTAGGAGCAGCCTGAATTAAACTCACTATTAACACTCTGCCTATGTAACATGCACCCGACTTAAATTAGATTAATATTGCATATCACCAAGCCATTTCATAGTAACAATAATTTTTTAATATTTATATTGATATTTTTTGCAAATGTAGAATGGCTGTAATTGGCGAATTGAGTTGATGAAAGCTGGATTTGTTATGACAAAAACACATATTTCGGTTGTGTGTTTGTCAGCTGCAAAGATGCTTCCATGGCGAGTACAGGCATTGTTGTCGATGTTCGCTCCAGAACTGTCAACTCTTCCTCATCATTCTCCCCTCACCTTTCATATGATAACACTCGTGGCACTCCAGCAAGCCCTCATGACACTCCTTCACATTGTTCTTCAACTGTCATAGTCACTTCTGGCCATGTGCCAGATTCCGTGTCGCACACAGAAGCAGCTGAATGAAGTCTTTTCCAAACTACTCTCACAAACAGCCCATTTATACAACACACCAACGCCCCTCTTCCTCAAGCCTCACGTTACAACACCTACATGTGCTATCATGAGGATAGGTTATCACATTCATGGCTTAATTCCAAAGAACTTTTTATGTTATCATCACCCTAAAGTGAACATTATGCTGTTCCAGGCGCTTACTACACCTCGGGGAGCTCTTCCAGGATTGGCTCACCGAGCGGGTCGCGGCCAGCGTCGCCCACCCTGTCCAGGTGTTCCCTCAGCTCCAGGACGTCGGCGTACGAGCCCCGGCACGACCCCAATTGGGAGTCTGGTCCCCGGCACGACCCCAATTGGGAGTCTGGTCCCCGGCACGACCCCAATTGGGAGTCTAGTCCCCGGCACGACCTCAGGTGGGAGCCTGCTCCTCGGCTCGACCTCAAGCGGGATCCTACGCCTCAGCACACCGTCAAGTGGGAGCCTTCGCCCCGGCGCGACCTCAAGTGGGAGTCCGCCCCTCGGCACAACCTCAAGTGGGAACCCTCCCCTCCTCAGGCCCCCGCTGCCCCTCACACACCCTCCAAAAAGTCATTTCTCCCCAACTTTTCAGCAGTGATGAGGTCGCCGTTGCGGAAACAAAATACGAAAATGAAAACTGGCGGGGAAGAAGACACGAGAAGAATGTCAGCGCCGGCTGGTGGACCAGCCCGGGTCACCCCTGGCCCCACACACCCACCAGATAAACCCACCCCACATCACTCTATCCAGAACCGACGACTCACGACTATATCCTCAAAATCCTCATCGTCTTCGTCGTCCTCTTCGTCGGCCTCGAGTAAAGATAGCGTCAAGACGGTGATCCCGGCTCCCGCCCGCAGCAAAGGTCCCAACTGGCTGATGAAGCACTTCGGAGGCTCCAAGAACCGTGGATCCACGCCTGTATGAGACGGCAATCATCGTCCGTATGCCTGTCACTCGCTGTATTCCCAACCAAATGTGCTGGAAACGTGTGTCGTGGCTGTCAAGTTGTGTCTGTCTATTTACCAATCCATTTATCTATCAGAACCACAAGACACCACGTAGGGAATGTCGATCTCTCTTATCTATCCATGTATTCATTTCTCTGTTCCATTCTTATATATGGGGTGGAATAGATGCATGGTGGGTACGGCAGGTGTGTGTGTAACTCCACTGTAGGTGTGTGGCAGATGTGTTATGTTGCCCTAAGGATGCCAGGTGTGGCATTGTTTTGGAAGTTATGGATGCGAGAGTCGTATATCGTCGTTTTGCAGGTGTTAGTTGTTACATGTGTGTAGGCCTAATATTCTTCAGGTGTTGGATACAACAATGTGTAGGCCTAGTATCGTTTAGACATTGAATGCCTCAGATGTTTAATATTTGTTAGTCTGTTTTTGGTGAGCCATATGTGTGTGTAGCAGCGTCTTGCAGGTGTTGGGTACGAAAGGTGTTTAGAATCATGTTTTACAGGTGTTATGTCCCGTGACATGTGTCATGTCCCAGATATTTAACGAGATTCGCCGTGTAACTACACCTTGCAGGTGTCAACATGTGTCCATTTTCAATATGACAGATGTATGACATTATGGAGAGTGCTGGAAGGACACATGTTCAGCCATATTACAGATGATCAGCTGCCGGGCACGACAGATGTTTAATACTGAGATTTTGCTGGTAAGACAGGTAACAGATTCTGTTCCTACTAAATATCACCCAAGGAGATAGCAGATACCGTCTTTGACAGATATCACCATGGAGATAACAGATAGGGTAGACCTGTAGCGTGATGGTTAGTGCAGCAGTCTGTTTACAACTGCATGGTCCTGGGTTCGATTCCCGGGCAGAGCGAGACGTTATGAGAGTTAGTCACCTATTGTGGGTTGCATTGTGAGGAAGATGAGCAGTTAGCCCAGTGGAACCTCTATAAGCTTGACAAACTTCCTGTCCCTAGAGGGTTGAACAGGTTAGGTGAGTCTCAGGGTACAGTGTAATACAGCTAAGAGTGTGTGGGGGTACATTACGGGGCTATTCATGCCCGTGCCACCTTTTGGGTGGATTAATCTTTATCAATCAATCAGGGGGTACAGCATGGTACCGCAAGGAGTGTGGGGGTACAGCGTGGTACAGCTATGATCGTGGGGAGTACAGCATGGTACAGGGTTTTGGTGGTGGAGTTACACTACCGCGGTGGGGGAGATAATAGCCTTTATTTTCATATATATATAATAAAGCTTGTTAGCTAGAACGGCATAATTTTTGTACTTCTCTTCCTTCTTCTTCTTTAATCGTTTGAAAAATATTTATAAAAGCCGAAGTCTTAGACAGGTTAAGGTAGCCTCGTACTAGAAGAGGATGCATTATGTTAGTGTGTATAACCAGCTCACACACACACAACACTCCTACATGACCCCCCCCTTCCCCCTCCCCCCCTTTGTGTTAGTAAATATGTAACCAGACTCCCATCAATACACTCTGCTCATATGCAGGCGATGAGTCACAATAACGTGGCTGAAGTATGTTGACCAGACCACACACTAGAAATTGAAGGGACGACGACGTTTCGGTCCGTCCTGGACCATTCTCAAGTCGATTGTCACATTCACAATCGACTTGAGAATGGTCCAGGACGGACCGAAACGTCGTCGTCCCTTCAATTTCTAGTGTGTGGTCTGGTCAACTCTGCTCATATCTTGCTCCTCCCTCCCCTTTATATACCCGAAAGCCTTAACATATCATTAAAGAACAATGTTGAAATGTGCGTTTCATTCAACCTTTTTTTTATTATTTGTGGTGAATTATATTTATGATGTAAATAGAACGCAAAAACAAAGATAACTTTCAGTTGACATAGTTAAACAATAACTATAGTCGTAATAAAATATTAAGGTTATAGAGTGGGATCAAACTCCCAGTATACCCATAAGTTATGCTTCTTTTAAACCATTAAAAGCAACTATCACACTTGACACGTGAACAATAGGAAAACAAAAGTTTAGGATTCGGATGATATTTGAAGCAAAAACTAACACAACACTAAACATTGAGAACCCGTCCGAGTATAAACTGGGATCACACTGAACCGTAAGTCAAGGAAAAGCTGTAACAATAACATCGTAATTAACATGTCTGTGATTTGGAGCAGCAAATAATCTAAATTCTGTCTGCTCACTCCACAGAAAACGGATGTAAAATACTTAAATACAAAAACACACCTGAACTGAATATAAATACACTTCACACAGAAAACGACATAAAACACCTGAATATAAATACACAACACAGAAAAGATGTGAAACACCTGAATTTAGACACGCGCCACACACAGAAAACGATACAAAACACCTGAATATGTAAACACGCCACACAGAAAATGGACGCAATACAAAAACCAAGTTAGAACATAAAATTCCCACTTGTGTTGAAGCTGTTTACACGGCATATTATCCTTCAGTGTAGGCGATGGCTTTCCAGGATCGAAGTACTCAGTTGTAGGGGACGAAATAGGGGTACGGAGAATAGAATGGCGGAGAGAAGGGCTGGTAGGGCGGAGGCAAGTCGAGTTGAGGTAGCAGCACTGTGTTCCTGAAGATGCTGCTGGCGCTGGGGCCGACGGCCTGGATCACGGTATCGGGAGTGAGGGGCGGCAGCTGGAAGGACTCCGGCAGCAGTAAGTGACCGTCTACCAGATCTGTCCGCAGGAAGTTCATCGGCAGGATGGCCTTTCCAATACAATAGCCTTCGTCTGCCAGAGAGAGAGAGAGATGGGGGTGGAAATGTTAACGGCGTGGACGCTAGAATTTAGTTTTTTTTTGTTAATATTCGCGCCTACTACATCACGGTCACTCTTGTAAACAAGACTATTCCAGTCAACACAACATGCATCCACAATATTTTTTCCGCACTGTTGCTTTACTCACTAAACATGTTCAGCGAACATTAAACATTACAACCAGAGGCAAACATACCCGGCGCATAACACGCTAGATATATTTTTAGATATATAAGAGTCAAATTGCACTTTTTTTCTCCTCATTTATGTACACTGTATCAAATACCAACCTATCTTTCAAAAATAAAAGAACCTATAGCGACTGTGTTAGGAATGTACAAAGGCAACAGCCTAACCTTTCCTTGGCCTTGTATATGACATATAAGTACTAAATAAGGTCTCCAAATTGGGATATCTTACTTATAATTGCTTATTTAGGCCTGAAAAAGGTTAGGTTAGATTTCTACAGTTTTTGGTATGGCCCTTGTATGCCAATACTAAACAAACTTTTACCAAATATTCATTTAAAGCAAATGAGAGATTTGTAAAAAATCATTTATGAATAAAGCTTGCGGATATAACAAAATTTATTTTGAACGAGACAGACAGACAGACAGGCAAAACAAGAAAGAGAGAGAGAGAGAGAGAGAGAGAGAGAGAGAGAGAGAGAGAGAGAGAGAGAGAGAGAGAGAGAGAGAGAGAGAGAGAGAGAGAGAGCGAGCGCATGTAGGGTAGCCTAGTAGGCTAGGAAGGGCATAAAGAGCTAAACCTCATTGACTGGTAAGATGTGACAGGTAAAGACTCACCAAAGGCGCTGATCCTACACATCTGGCGCGTCTGGTCGAAGACGGTACCGGCCGGGCAGACGTACCTCACCTTCGTGGCGTTGCACCGATGGTATACGTTACAGTGTGTCTGGTGCTGCACGTACTGGCTCATGCACACCTATCATGGAGATGTATTTTATTATCTCCGAAAACTTGAACTTGAACCCGTTATATGGTCCCACGCCAATAGGGAGACCGACGTTGTACACATCACTCCAAGAGGCTTTTACTACAGAAGAACTTAATCATTTGGAGGAAATTAAAAAAAATGTATAGAGTGAAGACAATAAGTAAAGTAAAACTTACTTGGGAAGAAGTTATTAAACAAGATAAACTAAAGCCAAATTCCCCAGTGCCTTAAGAAAATATAGGATAGAGCCTATTCTTCTCTTGTCAAGCAAAATCATTAAATCACATGATATTATTTAAGGGTTGCAAAAGTAGGCCTGATTTTTTTAAAAGTGGGATAGATCGTTGGCTTCTAAATATCGTCCATTTACTTTAATGTCAATTGCGGGGCAATTATTAACACGATACAAGCAAATTACATTGATAACCAGACTAAAAAGTACAGTTGAACTTAAAAAGGTCCACAACATGGCATGATAAATAGACGTTCTTGCAACCCCTCAAGGTTTATAAAATACCGTTCTGGGCACCGTGTCCAGAATGAATATAACTTCTCTTTAGAGTATACAAAGAATAGTGGCTATATTCATCCCAGTATTAGAACCTACTGAATGAAGATACACTAAGTAAATTCAACATTCATGAAATTATTTAACAAGGTAGACACAAACACTAGTCTTAAAAAAAATCCTCGCTTGAGCCAATACCTGAAGACTCACTTAGACTTATGTTCTTCTAAAGTACAGTATCTATTAGAACCTTTTACATGAATTTACCTAACTGCCACTATCTATTTAGTGGCCTTGACGGATACAGGAAGCCGGTGGCTTAGCAATTCACTTGACTAGGAAGTTTTCAACAACAAACCCCGGATTTAAGATGTATACCTCAGCGGGAGAGACCTCAGTCGTACTGACTTCAACGGGGGCTTCTGTTGGTGTAGTAGTTTCCTGGTCTGGTAGCTGAGTCACGGGTTCAGCTGGCTCGGGGGCTACCGTAGGAGGCTCAGTGGGGCTTGGCCCGTCAGCTGGAGACGGAGATACCGTAGGTGTTTGGGCGGGACAATAGCTGGGAACACAGGTGACCGCCTCGACGCTGAAGACATGGTGAGGGGGACACTCGAACACATAGCGACTGAAGAACTTTCCTACCCCCGAGAAGTCGACACACCTGCAACACTCCGAAGGTTAGTGACACAGTTTTTTGGTTTTGATGTCCAAAGGATTTGGAGAGGATGGGGGAGGAAGAAGGATAGGGCGGTGAAATTCTTGGAAGAGGATTAGGATGTGGAGAGCCCGAGGACAGAGCTAAGTGTTGGTAGATTGTCCTGGCCAAATTACGTCTTGGTAATGCTAGGCTAACACACAACTATCTTACTAAAGGCACACAACAACAACAATAACAACATATCCTTGAAAATATACGCAGAAAGCATATATAAAACATGTATAATAAGCATATACAATAATGTGTGCGTGTGTGTATTCACATAGTTGTGTTTGCGGGGGTTGAGCTTTGCTCTTTCGGCCCGCCTCTCAACTGTCAATCAACTGTTTACTAACTACTTTTTTTTATCTCTCTCTACACCACACACACACACACACATACCAGGAAGCAGCCCGTGACAGCTGACTAACTCCCAGGTGCCTATTTACTGCTAGGTAACAGGGGCACTCAGAGTGAAAGAAACTTTACCCATTTATTTCTGCCTAGTGCGGGAATCGAACCCGCGCCACAGAATTACGAGTCCTGTGCGCTATCCACCAGGCTGCCAGGCCCCCTGGCCGGATATGTGTGTGTACTCACCTAGTTGTACTCACCTAGTTGTGTTTGCGGGGGTTGAGCTCTGGCTCTTTGGTCCCGCCTCTCAACCGTCAATCAACAGGTGTACAGATTCCTGAGCCTATCGGGCTCTATCATATCTACACTTGAAACTGTGTATGGAGTCAGCCTCCACCACATCACCCCCTAATGCATTCCATTTGTCAACCACTCTGACACTAAAAAAGTTCTTTCTAATATCTCTGTGGCTCATTTGGGCACTCAGTTTCCACCTGTGTCCCCTTGTGCGTGTTCCCCTTGTGTTAAATAGACTGTCTTTATCTACCCTATCAATCCCCTTCAGAATCTTGAATGTGGTGATCATGTCCCCCCTAACTCTTCTGTCTTCCAGCGAAGTGAGGTTTAATTCCCGTAGTCTCTCCTCGTAGCTCATACCTCTCAGCTCGGGTACTAGTCTGGTGGCAAACCTTTGAACCTTTTCCAGTTTAGTCTTATCCTTGACTAGATATGGACTCCATGCTGGGGCTGCATACTCCAGGATTGGCCTGACATATGTGGTATACAAAGTTCTGAATGATTCTTTACACAAGTTTCTGAATGCCGTTCGTATGTTGGCCAGACTGGCATATGCCGCTGATGTTATCCGCTTGATATGTGCTGCAGGAGACAGGTCTGGCGTGATATCAACCCCCATGTGTGTGTGTGTGTGTGTGTGTGTGTGTGTGTGTGTGTGTGTGTGTGTGTGTGTGTGTGTGTGTGTGTGTGTGTGTGTGTGTGTGTGTGTGTGTGTGTGTACAGCAGGAGGGGGGGGGGGGAAGAGATCGCTCCGGGCCATATTTATACCAACACAAACAAAAATCCATATTGGCAATTCGGGGTAACGGCTTTGGATTAAAATAATGTTCGGATAAATAAAATGTCTGCCAGGAAAGTTAGGAGAATTCAGAATTCAAATTGGATTGTTAATTTTATTTATTAATTTAATTTACGTGACAATGCTGTGTGAGGTGCTGAGATAGGCTTTTTTATGTGACCACTAATTCAACGAACAATGTTATGGCCCCAATCTATAATATATATGGAAAATCTAAAGGAAACAGGGGAGTTTGGAGATAGGAATTAAGAATGTGAAGAGAATGGGTCTGGGAAGTGTAAGGTTTGTGAGTATGTGAATACATGTGAGTATGTGTTCTCGCTTATCTGTACCTGCAGAATCGAGATTTAGCTCTTGGACCCCCGTGTGGGTGTGTATATGTGACGAGACAAGGCAGTGAGACATAGGTGGCCTAGCTACCTGTAGAATCTGGAGCAGTTGATAGGGTGGTTGAAGAATCCTTGGGCGGGGCATGGCAGCTTGTCATCCTCGGGGTCCGTCACCACGCGCACCTCCGGCCACCGGCGCACATCCGGCCACTGGCGCACATCCGGCCACTGGCGCACTGCAACACATATTATTCAGGGATGATGTCTACACGAGAGTTATTGCCTGGCAGAAGGGTAATGTTATTATCCGCTTCTCGCGAAATAAAATCGCGTTGTTGAATGAGTAATATTTAGGCTTCTTCCGCTAAATTAGCGATGTATATACTTAGAATATTTGTACCATTGATACTGAGCAAGAACGGTACCATTAAAACATGGCAAATATGGTACATTACCACAGCGCAAATATGCTACCATTAACACAGGGCGTACCATAATCACGATCAGAGGAAGAGTGAAGAAAAACTCATCAAGTATGCTTGATGAGTTTTTTGAAGTTTTTGAAACAAATCAGCATTACTCAACAATTAAACCTAAAAGGTCAAAAGATAATTAAATTATGAAACATAATTACCCTTGGGGGGGGGGTAGAAATAGCCTAAGCTGCTCTATCCCTTTGAGATGTATTTTTTTTCTTGGCTTATTAAACATACTTGAACTTGATTATCCTTAGCGAACGGGATAGGAGGAGCGTGGGATAGGCTGGATTCAGGAGAGGTTCTGCGAACGCTATACAGTTACGAGCTCCAGTTAGGTTCGCGGAACCCATCCGCCTCCAGCCGTGTGCTACAGCCCCCCCCCCCCCCAACTTCGTGCTTAATTGCACACTAGTTTCTCTATCAGCTATCTCACCCTGTCAGAGTAAAAGAGACAAATGTATGTGTGTGTATATGTGTATATATATGTATGTATGTATATAAAGTATATGTGGAAGCTGATCAGAATTGCATTTCACCTTTGTAAATGCACATTAATGACACTATGTAAATAGACACATCGAACACTTTATGTAGGGCAGACGTAAATCTGTGTATCTATGTATTTACGTATGTAGCTTAGCTTAGCATTTTAAAAGCACTACAATCACCTTCTGTGGTTGATTGTTCAATAAATCCCTGAACACCGAGACATTACATCTCTCTCTCTCTCTCTCTCTCTCTCTCTCTCTCTCTCTCTCTCTCTCTCTCTCTCTCTCTCTCTACAAAAGGTGGATGCTCACGAAAGAAGCTGGGGTTGTTGTTGAAGATGGCTGCCGGGGTGTGGTGGTAGAGAGGCTGTGTGTAGAAGAATTTTGGGGGTTTGCGAGGTGCTGACTCCACGCCGGCCCATCCCACCGCTGCCACCATTAACACCACTACCAACATCTGGAAAAAATGGATCTAGGGATAGATTAATAAGTAAATAGCAATAAAATGTCAATATAAACCAAAAAAGTGAAGTGAGGTCAGTGGCGGGCGGTTTCGTGACCTTTTAAAGGTCAGGATAGAGCACATAGACAAACAGACATAGTGCACAGGCAGACAAACATAGATGACAGACATTTTATTATTATTACTATTATTAAGGGTCCTGGTAGTGCAGTCGAATTCGTTCTCGACCCACAATCGAGAATTCCAGATTCGAATCCCGGGCGAGACAGAAATGGTGTGTTTGCTATCACCTAATGCCCCTGGCCACCTAACAGCAATTAGGTAACCAGGAGTTAGTTGGATTGTTGTGGGGAGAGTGTCAGTAATTCGACCCTTCTGGGGGGGGGTCTCGATATAGGCCTAAAATGTACTGTATTATAAACTGGCTGCCTGTCCCTCGACACAATGAATTAATTATTATTATTACTATTTTATTGAAGGTCTCTTAGTTTCGCCAATTATATGTCTGTCATCTATGTTTCCAGACAGACAAACAGAGATGACTGACATATAATTGGTGAAACTAAGAGACTTTCAATCAAGTAATAATAATAATAATAATTCTGTCTGTCATTCTGTTAACCTGTCTGTTTACCAGTCTGCCTGCCTGTCTAATTGCCTGTCAACCTGTCTGTCTGCCTGATTGCCTGTAGCCTGACTTTCTGCCTCTCCGTCATCAACACGATAATATTCTGGTCACGTAATTCTGGTTTTTACGGCTGGTTACCTTCTGATAGTGTGTGTGTGTGTGTGTGTGTGTGTGTGTGTGTGTGTGTGTGTGTGTGTGTGTGTGTGTGTGTGTGTGTGTGTGTGTGTGTGTGTGTGTGTGTGTGTGTGTGTGTGTGTGTGTGTGTGTGTGTGTGTGTGTGTGTGTGTGTGTGTGTGTGTGTGTGTGTGTGTGTGTGTGTGTGTGTGTGTGGATTTGTGTAATTACTCAGCTGTGCGTGCAATTGTTTCGCTTTAGTTGTTGGGTCCCGCCTAGCACGCTTTAGTTAATTCCTAGTTTTGTTTGATTTTACTTTCATGATACTGAACCAAAATATTTATACTATCTCGTGGTTCATTTGTGTACTTTGGTTCCCTCCATCCTCGTCAAACTATGTCTTGTCTACCCTGTTAAGTCCCCTGAGTATTTTGTGTGTGGTGATCATGTCTCAGGATCTTGAGAAGATATGGATTCCTTCTTGGCGTCGTATATTTCAAAATGGGTCTAAAATGTGGGGGGGACTTCTAAGTCTTAAACAAGTCCTTGTTTAGATTTCTGAGGGCAGTTGTCACGTGGGTCACGCTTGCATATGCCGCTGATGGTGTGGGGTTGACCTGTGCCCCTGAAGACAACTTGGGTGTTATATCAACTTTCGTCTCCTTTTTCTCTCTCTCTCTCAGCGTCCAGTTTCATTACACTCCCCCGAGTTAAACTCTTGCAACCACCTGTTAAACATTCTTCCAGTTTATTCAGGTCTTCCTGTGTCTTCTTGCAGTCTTACGTGATATGTAGATTCCTGTAATCCACCAGATCTCCTTATTGCTTCTTGCAATATTTCACCTTATTTCTGTCTCATTTTTTTGTACTCAATCACATAACTGAGGAATAAGATGGACTCTAGCACTGAGCCCTGCAGGACCCCGCTGTCATGTCTGCCATTCTGGCTATTTTAATCTCACTGTGACTCCTGCTGTCTGTTGCCCAACCGTCAAGTCCAACCACTTGGACTGGACGGTATAGAGCGACGGTCTCGTTTACTATTCCTTCACTACATCCAATTCTAAATCCTTATCCTCATCCCTTCCAAGTGCTATATAGTCGTAATGACTTAACGCTTACTCCTGATAATGACCTTACCCCCCCTTTCCTGTGTGTTGCTGTGAAACCTTGGAAAGGAAGCAGTTTTAGTGCTTGCAGTAGACGGGGATTGATTTGATCTAGTGGCGGATCAATCATTTTGTTGTTGTTATAGATTCAGCTACTCGGAACAAGTTCCAAGTAGCACGGGCTATGGTGAGCCCGTAGTGAACTTACCTGGCACAGGAGCGGTGCTCCCAGTCATCATCTTGGTTGAAATGTTCGGCAAATATAGTATTGTGTTGCCTCAGGAGCAGCGGCACCCCTGTACTGACCTCCACCAGTCCTTCTTGGACTGCAGGTGTCAGAACTGGATTCCTTTCTGGTGGTTGGGAGCCACTCTTAAATTAATATCTGAACGAGTTAGATACAGATATGCGTGAGGAGTGATAGGCAATGTAATATGTATATACATACATATGTACATATAAACATACATATATACATTTATTTATGAAAAATTAAGGGGAGTACATATACAGTTTTAGCAACTCAATTCATTTACCCAAATAAAGACACTGTCAGATGAAACGGGCAGTGAACCGCCACTCGTGTAGCTCCACCGAGGCCAGCACACGTAAACCTGGATTTGAAAAGCCTTAAATAGCGGCAAGATTGCATGACAACGCCATCTGTGGGCTCTCATGACGATCATTTTAACCCAGCGGCCGACCTGAAATAACTTTCCGTCTAAAGTCTCGGTAAGTTCGCACTCTCTTCGTTACTGTCCGCAGCTTCTACCAGGGATTTGGCGGGACATTTATCACGTTGTTTTATGTGTGCTTGTCCACGGTCTTTGTCTGTCTCAGGGTCCTGGCCTCCCTCAGGGTCCTGGCCGCCCTCAGGGTCCTGGCCTCCCTCAGGGTCCTGGCCGCCCTCAGGGTCCTGGCCTCCCTCAGGGTCCTGGCCGCCCTCAGGGTCCTGGCCTCCCTCAGGGTCCTGGCCTTCCTCAGGGTCCTGGCCTCCCTCAGGGTCCTGGCCTCCCTCAGGGTCCTGGCCTCCCTCAGGGTCCTGGCCTCCCTCAGGGTCCTGGCCTCCCTCAGGGTCCTGGCCTCCCTCAGGGTTCTGGCCTCCCTCAGGGTCCTGGCCTCCCTCAGGGTCCTGGCCGCCCTCAGGGTCCTGGCCTTCCTCAGGGTCCTGGCCTTCCTCAGGGTCCTGGCCTCCCTCAGGGTCCTGGCCTCCCTCAGGGTCCTGGCCTCCCTCAGGGTCCTGGCCTCCCTCAGGGTTCTGGCCTCCCTCAGGGTCCTGGCCTCCCTCAGGGTCCTGGCCGCCCTCAGGGTCCTGGCCTTCCTCAGGGTCCTGGCCTTCCTCAGGGTCCTGGCCTCCCTCAGGGTCCTGGCCTCCCTCAGGGTCCTGGCCTCCCTCAGGGTCCTGGCCTCCCTCAGGGTCCTGGCCTCCCTCAGGGTCCTGGCCTCCCTCAGGGTCCTGGCCTCCCTCAGGGTCCTGGCCTCCCTCAGGGTCCTGGCCTTCCTCAGGGTCCTGGCCTCCCTCAGGGTCCTGGCCTCCCTCAGGGTCCTGGCCTCCCTCAGGGTCCTGGCCTTCCTCAGGGTCCTGGCCTCCCTCAGGGTCCTGGCCTCCCTCAGGGTCCTGGCCTCCCTCAGGGTCCTGGCCTCCCTCAGGGTCCTGGCCTTCCTCAGGGTCCTGGCCTCCATCGGGGACTCTGGAAGGCTCGCCTTGGTTTTCTCTTTTACTTCTATGAATATGTTTTTTTTTTTGGCGTGGTGAGGCGCTGACGGCATTGTGTGTTGTAGGGAAGGAGCCTAGGTATACCAGGCTCGCCTCCCTGCACCTCATCTGACTGTATTCACTCACTCCTTTGCTCGCTTACTCACTCACTCATTCAGCAGCTCACTTACTTACTAATTCACGTACTCACTCATTAACTGATAATTTAAGAGTAAAAAGTAGAGAGGAAAGAGTTCCGTAATCAACAGGCAAAACAAGCCGTAACCGCAAATTAACGCAACAACAACAACTTTAAATAAATGTAAAATTTTTATGATTTACGCGCAAGGAAGAGTAGAGCCCACAGTTAGGTACTCTCCACAGCATTTGTATATTATTATCCAGCTGAGGTACACAACAGTGTGCTGTGTACCCGTCCCGAGTCTGAACTCACCTAGTTGTACATGCTGGGGTTGGGCTTCGGCTCTTTGTTCCCGCCTCTCGACTGTCAATCAACTGGTGTGAAGGGGATTACAGAGGGCTATACCTAGGTTCACTTAACATCTCCCATCTCACAGGATGGTTGGCCTCAAGTATGTATGCATACTTATACATACTATGTATACATGAATGTATACATACTATGTATACATACCATGTATGCATACTATGTATACATGTATGTATATACTATGTATACATACCATGTATACATGTATACATACCATGTATACATGTATGTATACATACTATATATACATACTTGAGGCTTGCTTCGAGGACGTTCCGAAGGTACTGACCCTCTCCAGGATGCAACCTTGCAATAGTTGCCTAGCTTACGGGTACCACTTTCTGCTAAGTGAACAGAGGCATTAGATAAAAGGAACGTGCCCAGTCATTTATGTCCCGTCAGGAAATCTACCCGTGATCACCGATTGTGAGTGGAGAACGAAGCCCACTGTGCTACAAGACCTCAGCTCTCGTGAAATTGTTATTGACAATGTTTTAATTTTAATTGTCTGAAGTGGGTGAAGATCTCTTTTTGTCGCAGAAACGTACCCGTCCGCCTGTATTTTTAAGTGTGTTTTAATTGTGATTGTATGGAGCCAAGCGAGTCATTTGGGCCTATACTGGTAGTAGTAGTAGTAGCCCTGGAAACACAAACCGAAACTGTCTCTATTTTCCGCTTGTTACAACTTGTAATAAAGTTGTTACATCTTGGCTTAACGTGTTTATGACGTATTAGAACGTTGTTTCAACTTGCTATATTAGTTGTTATAACTGGTTAGGAGGTGTTAAAACTTGTTCGAACGTTGTACCAACGTCGTAGTTTCGGTGTGTATTTGGCGGGAGGCATCCATCAGTCTCAGGAGACTATGGAGTTACACTCTAGTTGTCGGTCTGGAGTGGCCTCTCCAGGGCGCAAAGCCAGGGTAGGTTGATATGG